GATAAAAGACTTTTCCCCAAGACCCCAAATGAATTGCCCTACAATGATTCTGTGGCTTTTTTATAATGTCCAAAGCTGGATGTACCGCTGCTTTGATACAATTCAGTGATTACTTTGGAGGAGGAGAGTCTATTGGGAAGGCAGTCATCCAAGTTTAAAGGAGCTGGTGAAGCTCTTCTGATGCTCCACATTGTCAGCACTTTCAGTCTCCTGTCCTGTGCAGTGGCAACACCTAAAGCCTTCGGGGCAATCCAAAGGAAGCCAAGCCAGCCGCAGTACAAGATCCCACCACCAGCACCACCAAATGCTGTGCTCCAAAGGCGCAAGCGTGGATAAAGTTCTTCCCTCCCACCCGTCTCTCTGCAGACAGGGTGTGGGTGCAGCATTCTCCAAATAAATAAGGCCCTTTCAGGATTACGACTTTGGTATTTGGATGTGATACAGATTCCCTGAAGGCTTGGCACCCACCCATCTTTGCAAGATAATGCAACCAGCAGTATCTGCAATGTTGGTCTATCAATGCATTCATCGTAATTCGATGCCAATGTAGTATACATCTGACCTATAAGGTTGTGCATGAGATTCAGTTTTAAATCTATCCAGCTGTGAGCGAACTTAATATATGCCAGAAAACACATTGATATCACTGTTACCATGTGAGGAGTCCATCCTATCCTTGTGCTGTTCGTTGCCTAGCTCACACAATACCTTTCTTGTGTGCTTGTTTGTTGTATAATCTTAATGTTCCATGAGCAAGGAAGAGAGCTGTTTTTCAAGAAGCAACAGCTTCTATGAACTTTCCTCCATGAATAAATGCCTCCTCCACTTCTCTAGGGCAAGGATGAACAGAAAGGAAGTCTCCAGATGTTTTGGACTTCAGCTCCCAGCTTTCTTGACCATTGGTTATTCTGGCAGAAGCTTCTGGGAGGAGAGTTCCATCGCATCGGGAGATCTACTGTTTGCCTGACCTAGGATGTACTTCATAATTCTGGTCAGGATCCACATGACTGATGTTCTTCTCTATATAGCATATAAGGATGTCTTTGAGACAGCTTAGGGCACTGCTTTCTCTCAGTCACAATTCTTTTCTATATGCAGTGAATGTTCTTAAGATCAATTAAATTTTTTAATGAGAAACATTCAGTTTGGCAAGCTTTCACTCACTTTCAGGTACAGTCCTGAATGAGGCCTTCCTTCTCAGTGAGACTAGGCCTTAGGTCAGGGAAGAGCAATTTGTGGCCCTCAAGATGTTTTGGCCTACAATTTCCATCAGCCACAGACTGCACAGCAATGGGGGTGGATGATGAAGGTGTAGGCCAAATCATCTGGATGCGTCATAAGTTGCTCACCCCTGCCTTCAGTAAAATTTTGGGGACTATTAAAATAACAGAATAGGGACACTTCTGCATCCTAACATGTAATATTCTTTCACATTGCGTCCACTCCAAATACTGTAATTCAATCTTACTAAATACAAAGTTCAAGCATTTCATGCGTTTTTTTTCCCTCTGAATTACTCTTTTGGATTTTGGTTGCTCCAGATTTTTTAACGGGCATAGCAGGTGATGCAAACACCCGGCAATTCTCTGATAATGAGATAAAGAATTGTACAGTGCTGTGTTTGTGGGAAAGTCCTGCAGGAACTGGTAATATAAAGGAAATGTGACATTGTTGCTTAAGTTTGGCTAGAAGCCAGACACCTTTTCCTGTGCAAATCCTGCCTGCTCTATACCCCATCCTGAGATAACCAGGGATGTTACCCACCAAATGGTGTCCTGAGCCACCACCTTTTCTCCCCACTTCCACCTCGGTCTCCAGGCAAAGAGGAAGCGTGGCACACTAAAGATGAGGATTCTGCATGTTATTCTTATTTGAATGCTAAAGGCAGCCCTCCAGTTGAAGTTAGGAAACGACACTATAGTTGAGAAGGAAATCGCTCAAATGTACTTTGGTAATCAACCTGCAGCAAGATGTCCTAGTATATGTTCCTATTTGATACGGGTAAGAACGCTAGCTCCTGATGGGAAATGGCGTTTCTTTAATCCAAGACGGGCTGATTCTTGATCTAATAAATCTTCGCCCTAAAAATGATCGTAGGCTCACCACTGTACAAAGCACTCCCTTCTTACCATGCCTCACAGGCACCTGTCAAAGGCAGAACAAAAATGTCCCCTCATAGCAGAGCCTGGTGTGCAACGGCCGGGGGGAGGGGAGGGAAGCAGGACCAGACGGAGCAAGAGAGGACAAAGAATCAGCCAGACTTCACGCCCACACACCCCGGTGTAAGCGGTGGCCTCTCTCAGCTCCCAGCTCCCTCTTGACCTTCATTATACAAATGCCAGAGGCAGGAATGCGAAACAGGATCAGAAAAGTATGACATGGTGGCACAAAGTCAAGCTGCCCCGCAGGAGGTGCACTGCACCCTCCTGGGCGTGACAAGGCGGGCCCGGGAGGCAGGGAGGCTCGGAGCCAGGGGGCGAGGGGCCACCTGCGCAGGGTGCAACCAGCACCTTCTCCCCGGGCAGCGTCTGTTCCCAGCAGGCCGAGCAGGGCGGCTCCCCTCCTCTTGCCACCCCACAGCTTTTAAGCTGGGGATGAGAGGGGCTGTGCCTGAGCTATATTCCCCTGCAGGCTGTGGGTTCACAGGTGGAGGGTGCATGTTGAAGGAGCTCCAGGTGTCGGTAGTGAGGGGCGCACAAATATGGAGAGTCCACAGGCATTGTGGGGCCACAGTCCTAGATGAGCTGCTGAAGTTGCAGGAGTGCCCAGAATTCCAATATTTACTCATTCACATTTGTATCCCACCTTTCCTCCCTGGAGCACAGTGTATGTCCTTCCTTGCTGTTTTATCCTCACAACAACCCTGTGAAGTAGGGTAGGCTATGTGCCAGCGACTGGTCCAAAGGCACTCGGCAAGCTTCATGGCAGAAGGGGGGGCGGGGGCAGATCCCAGGTACCTAGTCCAGCCCTAATCACTGCACCATGCTGGCTTTGCAATGGAGGCAGCAGATCCATGTATCCCAAAGGACATGCATGCAAATCTGCTGCTTCAGTTGAAATTGATGGGGCGGCTAAGGTGAGGCAAGGCTGTTCCGTGTGTATTTGATGGGTTCCCTGCCCAGAGAATATTGCTGGACTGGGACAAACATGATGTATAAAATCTCACTTTCTGTCTCCCAATGTGAACGGAACGGTGCAGAGCAGATCCTTTTCGGCATACCCGGATGTGTGACCCGAAATGCTCTGGTGAAAACAACCAACCCATAAGCAGCAGAAAGGAATTCCTGGCCCAGACAGATTTTACAGGCACCCAGCAGGTCTTCTCTGGAGCAGGGTGTTTTCCCCTCTCGCGTCAGTCTTCCCTTCTCCAATATCCAAGCAAGGAGGCTTCCCTTTAAGAAACATCTCATGCAACAGGAACCAGAAAAGTTATCTTTAGTTAAACACACCCAAAAATAGTATTGTAAAAAAAAGAAAGAAAGAAAAAGGAAACAAATGAAAAGAGATTAGAGCAGCTTACAAAAATAACCTGCCCCTCCCCTACCTTTCCTTGGCAAAATGTCCATACACAAGTCAAGAGGTGGCGTTAGACCACACATAAATTACTACTTATATAAATATAAAAATAAAAACTCTGAAGTGGCAGTTAAGAGTTAATCCTGTTATAGCAGATTTCTTCGGGGAGCGGCATGGATGTTACGCTTCCTCAGGCAGTGCCAAGGTGCCAGGTGAGCCTGTTCAGCCTCCGGCAGCAAGAGAAAAGTGCACTCGGGGCAGAGGAGAGCGTGCAGGTGTCCCAGCTTGCTCCCGCGCAGCTCCAGCCTAGGCAAGAGCGTCTCTTCCTCGCCAGAGACTGGCCTCTTCCCGCTGGCACCCTTCCTTCTCTTCCCAGTGGATCCAGTGTTAGAACTCAGGTAGGAAAAGGGTGCCGGGTTAAAGTGACACTGTGCACACCGTGCTGCAAAGCACCCTTGTTGCGATCGAGTCTCAGGCGCATTGCCTGGCCCTTCAGGAGACATCGACTCTGCCCCGGGTCATGGGCACGTCCGATGCTGCATCATTACTCAAATCAATGGGCTGCCCAAGTAACTCCCAGGTTATTTTTCACGCAATGCCCATCTAAAATCAGGAGTGTAGAGCCACTTCCATCCCTCTGAGGGCTGAGAAACCCAGGGGTGGGCGGGAGCAAAGGCAAAAGGATTTGGAGCAAAAGCAAGCGGGGCCAGGAGAAATACCAGCCTATTTTAGCTTGAAAGCCAGAACTTAAGCCTTAGGAAAGGCATTTCAGCCTTTCAAAACAGAGCGTGCAGGAGGGAGAACATGTATGTGCCAGGAAGCTGCCAAGGGACTGGTGGTTGGGGAAGAGGGGTGGGGTGATCCAGGACACCCCGGAGAGCCACACGGAGACCCATGTCAGGTGGATTTGGCCTGTGAGCTAGCGGTGGCCCAAAGTCACCCACGGGGGAGGCGAGGGAAGCCCACCAGCTCTTTGCTGCCTGAAGCCCCCAGTTCCCACTTCTGCTTCCCCCCTCTGTGTTCCTGCTCCCCTTACCCAGTTAAGCAGCTGCAGGGGGAGAAGAGCCCCACCTGGCTTTGCAACCATGTCAAGCAGAGATCAGGGCCTTGATGGGAAATGAAGGTAATCCATCCCACCTCTAAGCAGAAGACCGTGGCTTTACTGACTTTGGTGTTCCTCGCCTAAATTTAGCGCAGAGTGCCTTGGATGCTTGCAAGCTCTGTAGGCACAGCTGTAGAGAGCTCGGTGTTTTTCTCTGCAGCCCACAGTGGAGCATTCATACCCGTTAAGCCACTCATGCAGTCCAACTCCTGCATACGCTACGCACAGGTCAGAGTCTCCCCCGTGACCTCTTTCCCCCTGCCTGTGCTCTCTTTCAGCTGCCACTGCTGTTTTATGGAGGCATCAGGTCTGGGACAAGCCCCCACCATCGGCTTTGGGCACGAGTGAAGTCCGTCTCACAAGTGACTGCTCGAGCGAGGCTCTAGGGGTGAAGGGTGCCCTGGCCCAGCATGCCCCATGCCAGCCGGTACAGAAAGCGCGAGTACCAGTGCATTCCCGTCTCCTGGGCGCTGCAGTTCCTGGCCTCTCCCTTAAGAGGCCACCGTGAGAAGAGGCCGTGGACAAGCCGCAGGGGGGTGAAGGCCCGATGGGCCCAGCAGTGGCTCTCGAGTACGGCATAGCAGGACGCCAGCACCCCGTTCACGAGGATGGTGCCGTGGGAAGTCAAGGGGGCGTACACCCCGATGGCCTCCCGCCGCCAGACACGGACGACCCGGGCAGGGTGCAGCCAAGGGCTGCCCGCCCGGTGTGCCAGCACCGAGTCCCCCACGCGCACACGGCTGGCGAACACCGGAGAGAAGTCCGCCGTGCTGTTGGCCGGCTCCTGCGCGGCAAAGATGAGGTGCGAGGGGGTGAGGAGCAGCTGGTGGACGGGGCTGTCCGTCTCAATGGCCACGAAGGTGGTCCGCTGGTGCTGGTCCCGGTCGAGGAACAGCAGGACCTCACTGGGCGTCACCTGCCCACTCTGGTCCACGCTGAGCACGTAGTCCCCACGGCGAAGCTCCGAAAGATCTTTCCGTTCGCCGCTTGGTAATGTCACTGCTGCGTCCCCAGGAAAACAGCCGCCGGCATGGATGGCCATGGAGTTATCTGGGGGGCACAAGGGGGCATCGTGACAGCGATGGCCTCGGGGTCCTCCTGCCAAGTCGCCTGAGGCTCAGAGGCCCGTCCTCCAGGCCTCCGGGAGAGAAATGCCCAGATCCCCTTGCCATGTTTTGACTCCCGTGCCTAGCAGAGCCATCCATGGAAGGCAGGGGCTTCCTCTCCTGTTCAAATACAGCCCCATTGCAGGACGGCCCTCGGCGGCCTCCAGGGCAACGCCTGGGCAGCATTTGTGTGGGGAGCAGCATTTGTTCTGAAGCAGCGGGTGGAAAAAGCTTGTCCTTCTGCAGTGCCCTCTTACACGCAGGACTCCCACTCTTTGTTGTTAACAGGGGCAAAACGCAAAAGGCCCCGGTGCTGAAGACTGAAGGGAGCCAAGCGGCGCAAGGGGCCTCTTGGGTAATAGGGACGCCGGTGGGCTTACAGCCAAGCGTGCGGTGGGTTGGCAGGAAGGAGGTGGCAGGTGTAGGATGAGGGGGCTACAGCCCACTGCAGGTAGGAAGGGGGCTGAAACTGAAAGAATGGCAACCCTTGTGGGGGCTGAACCATCCCATGGACTGAAGAGGGGGAGGGACGTTATGCCCCAGCACCCCCCCCCCCCCGGTACACGAAGGATGGCGTTGTTCATGTTGTGTCAAAGAGCAAACAACTCTGCTTCTCTTCCAAGTTGGGTTCTGCTGCTGTGCCTGAAAGCAGCACTGTCTAACTCAGGGGTGGACAACTTGTAAGCAAAAACCTCTGTAGGGCCACAACTCCCATCATCCTTAGGCAGTACAGCCAACTGTGACAAATGATGGAAGTTGTAGGCTAAAGCACCCAGAGAGGCAATAACCCTCTCCTTTTCTAGTGCTGGAAAAGGTGCCCACAATTTCTAATCTGCATGGGAGCTGGACTCAATGGCCTTATGGGCCCTTCAGCTCTACTATTCTATGTTTTGTATGTAAACTACTTAGAGATTTTATTGTATTAAGCAGAGCAACGAAACAACCAAAAGCCACCTAGCGCAAACTGCACTGTCCCCACCTCCCTTTTCCACAGCTCCACTCCCGTTTACCTGCTTTCACTGACACATGGATATGGGCCTTGGACTCGTAGTAAACCCAGTCAAAGCCAGCCTCAACTGCTAGGCGGGCCAGCATCCCGTACTTCTCCCTGTCACGGTCAGATGTCGTGATGTCCAGGGCCCGGCCCTCATAGTGCAGGGAGTCCGGCAGGTGGTGCCCATCTTCATCCCAGCCCTCTGTCACTCTCAGCCGGGTGCCCGGCCACATGTTCATCACCGCAATAGCCAAGGCGTTCACTCTGTCCTTGCAACGCTGCAAGAAGCAAAGGTGGGGGAGATGAAAATGAGTGCTCCCCACATGGGGAGGCTCTAAGAGAGACTCTGCAAGAGCACCTTCGCACCACCATCTGGGCCAACCCTCCCTCCAAGATGTGAGGAAGCCCGTGGGTTTTTTAAGGAGTTCATCAGGTTAAAGCATGTTTGTTCCACATGTACCATAGCAGGAGCAACATGGCAACGGCGCACTACAGAATCCAGAGCTCCTTGGGATGATCTTTCCTGAATCCCGCCTTCCAAAACTTCCTTATCATCTCCTTTCCAACCATACTGGTCCTCTAGAGAACCACCGGGGTTTAAAAGCCTGTCATGTCCCCTGGAATGCGGGAGAAATCAGCCAGTTCACAACCTGCTCTACAAGTGGAGCTCCACAGAAGCTATCAATCCAAGATGTTCACATAGCCAAGGCACCTGGAACTCCGGCATCTCAGATGGTTGCGTAGTATCCAGGACTATTCTCAGGCACAATGCAGTGTTTGGGCTATGGATTTTTTTAACAACATTGCAAACTGTCCCCAAGAGTCTTCCTTCTCCCACATGTCCATCACAAGGACAAGCCCTTAGCAGCTTTGCCACACAGCTGGAGAGGCATCATGCATGTTGATTGGCATTCTTAAACACACCATCACCCCCCCCCCCAAATACTTGGGCTGCTCCCAATCAAAAGTTAAATCTATCCACCTGTGCATCAATCCATCAGGTACACAGAGAGAGAGCATTTTCCTGGCTGACCACTCCCCTGTAGGACTTCTTTCATAGACTTGTCCAAGCAATACCATTAGCTTCATCCATGCCTTATAGGATAATCACATGGTCTCATGATGCCTGGAGCCCTGCACTATGCCTTACGCCCCTGTTTTATATCAGTATCACACAGTCTCACATTCACACACACCTAGCAGAGAACTAAAAAAAAGTTAAATAATACCGGAAGCAGCAAAAGAAATAGTCGCAGAAACACTGGCAGCCACTTCCACAGTGTTCCTGCCAACTCTGCTGACACCTGCTGATTATTATGTTGAGCCCCGCACTGCCCCTTAAAGGTAGGTGTCCATCGGCCTGTGCCAACAGCGGCAGTAAAATGTTGATGGCACAGAACCCCACCCAGACCTCCTCCCAATCACCGGACACCATCAGCATGTTCCGAAGAAGTTGTGCGTTAGAGTGCCTTGAGCGTTACAGCGTCCTGTGGCCCTCGTCAGGCCTGACGGACAGCTCTGGTCAAATCCATCCCTTCAGGTTTCCCCAGAAGGCCATGCCCTTTCTTCGGCCCCAGGGCTGCCCGAGGCATTTTGCTCCCTGAGCAGCAGGCACCCTGCATTCCAGTGCAGAAGCGCACCAGACTGAAGCTGAGCCTCACTTCGACACTGGCACGGGGCAGCATCCTCCACTGTGCCCAAGGCCAATAAACTGGCTCACGGGGTGCAAGTGGCACACTCTGCTCTGTCCCCCCAGGCTGCTCGAGGCAGTCACTTCACTGTGCTTCCCACGGGTGCTGGTCCTACCCTGCCCCATTTCCCCGAGCAACCCATTCTAAAAGGCTGAAGGGCTCAAGTGTAGGAGAGGAACGCTTTAAGCTTAGCCCAGCTCCTTGCACCTTCGCCTTTCTCTCTTTTCCCTTCAGCCCCACCTCCTTGGGAAAACAGCCCCCCGAGCAACTTGGCCCTTGTTTCTGCATCCCTGAGATCAGAGGTCAGTATACGAACCTGCTGCGGTAACTTCCAAGCAGGGGTCTGACAACTCTGGCTGCCCGAGCACAGCCAATGACTGCCTGCAAACAGCCATTTAGACAGGAAAGGGACCGCCTTTCCTTCCAGGCCCAACAGCCAGCCCACCCTGTAGTCCTCCCCATGCAGAAACTACGGCAATGGCTCTGAATCCCACTGTCCCGACAAGGATTCCGTACACAAACCGCATTCACAGTACAGCATGCAACATGAATCCCTCCATGTGGGGTCAGTGGGGTGGAAACAAGCCTTTTGCAAAGGAGAAAGGAGCCAAGGGACATGGAAGAATGCACTCCACCACTTTCAGAATGTCACAGGGGGCACCACGTCAGAAAGATGTGCCTATTTACACACATAGAAAGAGCCAGACATTGGAAACGCAGCTTTGAACCATCCCAAGGAGAGGTGAGTGCGGCTTCTACAAAAAAATGCATACCTTTTGCATGTTTTACTAGCAGCAATCAATTTAGACGAGAGAGACACTGAGAATAGAGCAGAGTCTTTCATCCAGAAGGAAGCCCATTCACTGCATGTTCTCGGGAGCAGACTGGAAAAAGGCTTGTGAAGGGGCCTTCACGGTGTGCTGCAGCCTGGGCTTAGGACATGCTCCTCTTGTGGCACCACCCTGGCCTGTGAGCCTCGCCCACGGAGGCCACACCAGCTCTGCACCAGCAGCACAGATGCCTCAGACACCAAGTTAGAAGTTCGTTCCCTCCTTATGGGCTCTCCCAGATAACAAGCTAAGACAGGCAACATCCACTGGTGTGGGCAGAAGGTAGATTTGGATCTAGCAGTAGCTATCTAGAAGTTTTGAAGTAGATGAGCAAGGATTTCTGCTTTCTAGCTGTTTAGCAGCAGCAGCAGCAGCAGCAGCAAAACATCTCTTCTCCCTGCCTCCTTTCTAAAGGACTGAAGTTATCTGTAATGAACTTGTGTTCAGAATGAAGGACTGTGAATTCTGTTTGCATCTGGTCCTCAAATGAATTCCTTGGCTCAGGATAATTTAATTCTATTTGCACCAAGGTTCCAGCTGGTAGATTTTGGGGTTCTGGTAACAAAACAAGGCAGATCTTTCAAGCTTGGCTACCTCTGACATGTGCAAAGCAGGGCAACCAACCTATGGGTCAATGTCTCAAATGTTCATGCCCAGGACTGGGAAATACAAATTGATAATTTGTCAAATCCTGATGTACTGGACAGGTTTCAATCTTATAGTGATTTAGGTGTGTGTAAGATAGATGCAGGCTTGCGTTTGCTAGTAGGGGTTAAATTGAGGGTGTGCAACTTAGCCAACTCAAATAAACACTCTAGTATGTAGACTTCCCACTCCCTATCTTAGGTATGTAAATACATTGCTAGTTGTACAGAACTTGGACCAGCTGGAAATCTAAACAAATAAGAGATGACATTACCAGCCCTATCACAGTCCTTTCTCACATTTCAAATGCTTTTGTTCCCACTTTATTTACATTTCTTTATCAGACACCATGCTGGTAGTAAGCTGAAAAGGGGAAAACAAACTATCAATACACATCCCGAACTCAAGAAACAAACACACAAATGCAGAAAACTTCCAGAAGCCCAAAAAGTGTGTGCCTATCTGTTTAAAAAAATACCCTGCTCTGCAAGTATGCGTTTATTTCCTCAAGCACCCTTATGCTTTCCCTTCAACTAATCCATTTGCTGCACGGTCTGTTTATAAAAACAACCCCTAAAGCACACTTTTAAAAGCAGGGGGTGGGGAGGGGTGGACTTGCGCTTGGTCATTGACAATTAACCATTAACTCCTTGGGATTAGCCCACCACCTCCCACCTGAAGCAGCCATGTGGAAAAAGCACCGGCCATTGGTTCCTAGCTGCCCAGAGAAAAACACACTTTGATTCAGGACCTGGTTTTTAATTAACCCGCTTAAGTCTGTGTAGGGTGAAGGTGGGCAGATGCAAAGATTATCTGATTGAGAAACATCTGCTATGCGTTCCTTCCCATAAGTGTTCCTACCCACTACCTCCTACAGCATCTTCCTCCTGGGCTCAGCTGAACCAGGAACTTGTCTTGCCCAGTCACGCCTTGCCAAATTCCTAACACACAGCAAGGAGGAGGAAGAGAAGAAGTAGAGCAGCTTGCCCTCGCATCCCTTGTCTTGCCATCACAATGTACCATTTTCTCACGCTGTATCTCACATCTGCTCACTTCCTATAGTGTCCCCTGGGGACTGAAGGAATTGAAGTAGAAATTGAAGGAGATCAACTTGTGACAGGAATACTAGGTGCTCCAGTCTCAGCTGATAGCGCTCCGGAGGAAGCCATGGCCATTAAACTGGATTCCAGGCAACAAGAACGAAAGCAAGTTTAATCACCACATTGGCACTAACTCTGGCCTAGTGCAAATAATCTGATATCCACATAGCATGGTGGAGTTGCAGCCTTGCTGGGCTAGGAATCACTATGCTGGTGTTCACAGCTTGCGAGGGAGGAGGAAGGAAGGGTCGAAAGTGGTGGTGGATGCAGAGCCCGGCACTGGCCTTATATATTTTTCTTTGACAGGAAGTTTCCTTCCATGGCAAAAACTATGGAAAGGAATGGGTGCTGCTTTTTCAACTTGTTATTTTGTACTGTTGTTGTTTTCAACTAGTGCTAGGCTGTGTTTCCAGGGTAGTGATAGCACAGGAGGGGAATCACAGCAACCGATGACATCTAAACAATAATAACAATCACAAAAAAGGCACAGGCAAGTCTGTAGGGGCTACCCAACAGGTGCCTCCAAGACTTGTGAAACCACATTCCACAGTGCACTCGCAGCGACAGTGGGTGCTGCTGGCCAAGGGAAGTTCAGCGTTTTCTCAGTTCAAAAGTGAGATGTCTGAGCACTAGCAAAATGTGGTATGTCTGCAACAGAAGGGTTTGATGGGATACTGGATCTTGGACTCCACACAGGAAAGTGTGGCTGTGGTGCATTTACTGTGGTGCACCAATGTTTGCTCAGAAGGACCCATAGTAGGCCCATCTTCAGTTTCATTTGGAAAGGTTTACAAGGGATGACAAGGAACTGGGGCATATTCTGTATACAAATGGGAGACTAGGACACCCTAAATACTTACTATCCAACAGTTCTGTGCCATGCCACTGTCTCTAAAAATGGAAATCATATAGAAACAGCCACATGTTAACCATGCTGTGCATGATATAACATCATGCATTGTTTTCAAGGATCTGGATAGCCTGTGAATTCACATAAGCAAAAAACAAGCAC